AAGAATGCGCGCTGAGAGAACAGGAATATGTCTAGAGTCATGGAACAACGAGAAACAGAAGACCAAAAGTAAGAAGTTCCCTTCGCTCCTAAAATTTCAGTCTGGACAATTAGATAGACCACCTGTAAATTTTTGTAGCTACCAAGATAACTTGAGAGCTCATAATGGGCTTAATGAAGTCCAAGTCATACTCTGTTTCCTCTTCCTTCTTCACGCAGGCACTGGCCTGAATAGTTTAAAGTATATTGCTTGCAAGTAAGAAGAGAGACATCATGAGATACCAATCTGAAATTCTGAGGCACCAAAACGATGAACAAATAGATAATTGATTTCACATGAATAAAACAACATAGCAATCAAAATCAGTAGAAATAAGGATTCTTGTTTTCTGAAATATAAAAGTCAGTAGGTAGGCTGGGGAGATGGCTCAGGCTGCAAAGTGCTTACTGAACACGCATGCGGGCCTGAGGGTGAACTCCAGGTACCTATTGAAGATCTGGGCACAGCGGCACATGCCTGCCTTGCCAGTGCTATAGAGGCAGAGCTAAGAGGATCCCCGTGTCTTACTGGTCTGGCTGAGTCAGTGAGTTCTAGGTTCGGTGAGAGATCCTGTCTCCAACCACACTGTGGAGAACATTGAAGACACACAACGCTGACTTCTGGCATTCACATGTGTGCGAATATGTTCAAGCAGACCATGCACACAGTGCGGTGTGAGAGTCCATGAGGGTCTGTGGCTGGTGGCTGTCTACCTGGAACAAAACCCAAGCAGAAAAGCCAGACGGAGGCAGCCTCCACTCTTCACTTCCTTTCTCCCCACAGCATCTGTTTCTCTTCTTTCTGGTTGTTCATCCGCCATTCCCTTTTCTCTCTAAACTGACTTTCTCTTCTTGTTTCCTAGCATGAAAATTGATGAAATGTTTGCCCCAGTTTTAGTATATGTGGCTTATCATTTATAATCTCAAAGATATATGGTAATATATCTCTGATATATGCTCCATGGGGCTTAGTCCAGAAGTTCTAGAAGTTCTAGAAGGAGATGCTCTGGTGATCTACGTCAGAGTTGGAGTCGAGATGGCAACTAACAGTCTGGACACTTGAAGTCCAGAGAGGAAAGCCCATGTGGCCAGCAGGGAGGGTGGGTAGTGAAGTTCTAGCGAAGAAGACATATGTATAGAATGGGAAATCATGACATCTAAGCAACTCACGAAAAACAAACAAATAAACAAACCAAACTGGGTGGAGCGTGTGTTTGGCAATGTGTACCAAAGGAAACAAAGACTTGACTTCAGGAACGTTCCGAACATAGCTACATACCGTGGTTGAACATGTAGGGTGTACCTCACTCAGATCTAATATCCAGGAGATCATAGTGTCTGCAGCAAGTATCTTATAACTGAAGAATGGCTAGTTGAAAATAGCCGTGTTCAATCTTCAAGACAAGACCAGCTCTTTCTAAATTGTAGTGGCTACAGCATGGAGACTGTTCCTCCTTCCTACACTCTTTCCTTCCCCTCCTCTCACTGCCTCCTCCCTTCGCCACACCTCCCTCTGCCCTTCTTTCTTGCAACAAGCAAGCCAAGGCCAGCCGAGCAATGCTGCAACACCTGAGCTGGGCACACAACTAAGTGGAAAATATAAAGGATCTAGTCTGACAAGGAAGACAGGTTTCGTTTCTGTCAGATAGGGAAAATACTGCCTTGATAATAAGAAAGATTTAATCAACATTTAGCCGCGTGGAGAAGTGAGTCTCCCATCACAAAGGGCATGCAAGCATACACATCACCACCTGGTATGTGTGCAAAGGAGGGGATTCTTGTATATTCTTGGAGGTGAGAACAAATAACTCTTAAAGTCTCACCCGACTTTAAGATTCTGTGGTACTATAGTATGGGAAAAAAAGACTATTTCAATCACTGTTGATGTCTCTTGGCAAATTTTAAATACCACCATGACATATACCAAGAGATAAAAACAAGTACAGAGAGACAGTAACTGCACAATTTTATGTGTATATTGATAGTGATATATTTAGCGTACATGCATTTTTATGTGAGGCTGTTTATATCCAGAGCTCGAGTTGCCACTTCGCAAATCAGCACACAGTATTTGACGTAGCTGTCAATGTCAGGGACTCTGACACAACCCGATCTTGTGCTTGTGTATAAACATGCGATGTGTGTGTGTGTAAATATAAAGAAAGGGGCCCCCGATGTGCAGTTGAATGATTACTAGTTTCCATTGAGTGCGACATCTATTCTATTACCGCAAAGCAGTCATTTCTAAAGCCTTTGCAAGGCAACGGCTCTGAGAGTCAAATATCAACCTAAACATAAATCGGTATGTAAACAGATTGATGAGTTGCTAGATTACTAGCACATGAGCCATATGGGGCTGCAAAGAACGCTTGGAGGAGCCAGGGATAATTTTAGCTTTTTCTGAAAGCCAGGGACGAGAAGAAGCAACACTGTCTCTTGATGAAACTTCCTAACACTCTTCTGGTTTTGCTTGCCGCGCTTTGTGGGGGCAGTAGTGTTCTGTACGTTAAAAACGTAACTTGATAGATGGCGTCTCTTCTAACGCCGGATTAATGGACAACCTGGGCAGTCTTTGGGGGAAGGGACCGAAGGTACAGCCTAGGAGAAGTTTGTCACCTGAGGGGCTCTCTCAGCTATTGTGTGGATGTGAGGAAGCCTCACAATTAGATGGCAGAAGTAGGTGGAGGGGCCCCTGAGATGCTTTGACAAATGTCAGGACTTTATGGTATAATGACTTAAGGCATTGCTCTGAAAGGTAAGGCAGGAAAGCACATAGGAGATATTCCCGTGTGGGTGGCTACCCAGCCAGGGGGTGCTGGTCGAATACCACAGTCCCCAGTGGCTCTGGTTGTGACAGCAGCTTCTCTGGGAGTATAACTTTTGGGAGAAATAGAATGTTCTGACTCATGCCTGAATTTCTGTGCCAAGCCCCCTTAGATAAAGTCCCTCTGGGGACCATCTCCCCCCTTGATGACCTGCTAAACTGTTAGGACTGAATTCTCTGCCCTGTATTCGTCTTACTGAAGGCTGCCAAGGCTGCGCATGGCAGGGGGAGGAAGAGGACAAGACACACTCTGACCTTTAAAGTCTATTTGGCATTGGTTTCCTTTGAAATTAATATTGAGAAGCTCTCTGAACACTGACCTGCAAATGCAGGCATCATGAAATCTCGGGTCCAGAGTTAAAGACATTGAGGATAAAGACAGGGCTGAGTGGTCATGAGATCTGACACGCACTGCGTAAGTTTCTTATACTCAGTGGCAGTCCTTCTTTATCTTCAGTCTTTGGAGAAGAGGAAAGAGCCAAAATTTATAAAACTTTTGTATTTGAGGTGTGTGTGAGTTTCCGCTTTGCCGCTTACCAATGGGGAGACCTTAGACGGGCTAGCCATGAAGCTGAATGCTTCTTCGTGAGATTGAAAAGTGGGTGGCGTTTCCTCTGCCGAGCTTGTGAGGGTTTCATGAAGTAATAACCTTCGTAAGCGCTTTTCCATTCGCCTGTTCTCCATTTTACACACAGAAGCGATAGTGCAAGAGTTTAATCCATTTGTCTAAAGTAACACAGCAGTAAATGTCCATCCTAGGCTTTGGGTCACAGTAGTTTGGGAAACACCCACCTAATCAAATTAGTGGCACACTGCTGTGGTGCTGTCTCTCTTAGCGCTCTGCCTCTGTGGTAAAACAGCCGCGGCATTCTTTAGCGCCATCACATAACCTGTCACATTCATGGTATGCATCTTGTTTGTTTTTGGATTACAAAGGTGTACAGGTCACTGCTTCATCTGCCCTGGGATATTTACAATTCAAAACCGACAGCACAGGTTACGCCAGGGTGGTGGATAACATAGTCAGGAAAGCACTGACGAAAGCTTCCTTTGCTGGAGTCTCTGCAATACAGTTTTTATGAATGAGCACCCAATTAGCAGAGTGAGGGCGCAAGCCCAAAGTGCGAGACCCTAAAAACTACACCGTGGAAGAACAGGTGTTACACGTTCCAGGCAGTCTCCAGAGCTAGGACAGCAGGGCCAGAGTGAATGCACCAGGCCAAGCATTACACCCGAGTTGGGGTTTTTGGCCCACCCCAACAATGGAACAGATTTGAGACACTTGCTACAACACCAGATGATGTTGATTTGTACAAAAATGTAGTTAAATGTATCTTTCGGGTTGAATTTTTCCTTGACGAGGAAATGATGTCAGATGCTGCTAAAATGAAGCAATCGTAAGTCCGTCTCATTTTGCATGCTCAAAAGCACACCCATCATCTGTCTTTACACGTTCACCCTTTGCACTTGGTCCTTGGAACCACAAGGAACAGGAGCTCTGCGACCTGTGTGAAGTAGGGCTGGAGGTTGCCGGTCCTGATTGTGTCTTAGAAGACCACTGTCACAACAGTTCTGTGGTGAGCAATAGTCTACGGTTATCAGTGCTTCGTGTGTTAGCCGTGGGGTGGTCTCTGAGCTGTGTGCGTTTCTTCGATAGGATCCAGTACAACCCACAGTAGCACCCACAAACCAAGTGAGCTCTGTCTGGCCACTGACACACTTTGGGTCTCGCTTTCCTCTCTGTTTTGAGGAGCTAGCAGGCAGCTTAACTGGGTTCAGCTCATATACTGATCGCAAGGACGGCCTGGGTTAATACCTGGATGGCATCTGGAACAGCCTTGGCATTCATAAATGCTAAATAAACACCGGCGTGTATTTGCAGTTATCTTGCGATAACCTCTCAAGTCATTTGAGGAATCGAGATCGGAACTCAGAAGGCCTGACTCCAGATTCTCTGTCTCTACACCCTGTCTGAATGAGTAACCAAGTAAGTGAAGAAATAGCCTGAAGTCACATGACCAGATTGTTGCAGGACCCAGGCCTCCCATCGTTCGTCTCCAACTTGAGTTTCCAGGTTGAACTTCGTGCGTTCATTAGCTGTCCAGTACTATGACAAAATTCCTCAGTTAATCAACTTATAAGGAAGAAAGGTTTGCTTTATTTTGTCTCATAGTCATAGAGATTTCTGTCTGTGTCCAGTTGGCTCTAACGGTTTGGATCAGTGGTAGGGAGGGTATGGTGGGAGAATCTCATCCATTTACTCCATGACTGGACTGAAAAAGAGAAAGAAGGGTATGCCCCTACTGGTCAGCAGAGGCCCCTACCTTTTAAAGACTCCACCGCCTCCCAACCACACCATGGGGTCACAGAACGACACCCTTCATGCCTAGCTCTGCACCTATATAGCAGAAAACCGGAGTGCTCCTACCCTTCGTTCCCAGATGCCCTTTGCTCCTCTGCAGACTGCACCTTATTCCCTGCTGCGAAGCTTCTGATGCCCTTTTACAGATTGGCGACAGTCAGCTGGGCATGGTGGTGTATGCCTTAAATCCCAGCATCTAGGAGGCAGGGGTAGGCGGATCTCTAACCTGACTGAGGCCAGCCTGGTCTATCCAGGACAGCCAGAGCTACATAGAGAAACTCTATCACGAAAAGCCAAAATCAAAACCAAAACCTCAAGCCAAACCAAAGCAGCATCAACAAAAGCAGACTGCTAGTAAAGGGTTGTATTCTGTAGGTATTGTGGGGTGAGGGGGGTGGGGATAGGGGAAAGGGGGCAGCCAACATCCGAAATAACTGTAAGCAGGCTTGGAAAGCACTGTCATTTTAAGGACCTCCTCCTCGTCCTTCACTGTCTCCCTTGGTCACTGGGATAACCCTATGGTTGAGGTTGTTTGTGTTCTCACAGTAGCGAAGGAACAGAGCTCCAGTTTGAACCGGGGTCTCCTGACTGTGGATTCCACGGAGCTTGTATGACAGTACATTTGATGCTTTAGTCCAAGCACACTTGATTCTTGACCTCAAGACTATTTGATGATTTTTTTTTCTAGTGTAGATTTTGATATGCTTGGGGGAGAAGTTTGGGGTTAAATATTCCTCAAACCAGAGAGACAGGGCAAGCTGACCTAAGTCACGTCAAAAGCATGGGATCTTTGACTTCTTTCCCAGGGCTTCTTGAAAGAAATGAAATGATTCACTTGAAGTATTGCTATGTGAAATGTAAGCTGCTATAGAGAGCTATTCATTCAGAACCCTCTGACCATGGACTCTGATAATTATTTTATTCACTTCAAATACTACCATCTCGCTCGGATGATATTTCATTTTAGAATCTGTGTTCACAGCACCCTTCCACGTACATTGGTGTCTTCTCCACCCTCCCCTCGTCAGCGGGCTCCATGTACGGACTGTTTTTCCTTTTGAACCCAATTGCTTCCTCTTTGATTCTGTAGCAAATTGCCTGCCTGAGTGACCAGCATAATTACTTCCATGGCAATGGGCTGAAGTTAGAGACAGGCCATTATGTGAGCTCTACAGAGACTGGAGCTAGGTTCTTTTTTAAAAAAAAAAAGAATAAATAAATAAACCCACAACCACTAGCCTTATAATAACAGGATAGAGGGAGAAAATTACTAGCATTATAAATTGCTTTTTTTTTTGAAAAAAGTTCATAATCTCTGTCTTCTAAAAGGCTGTGACATCGTCGGAAAATCTCTCCACAATTTTAATTATAGCTAATTTTGTGTGAGGAAAAACACCTCCCTAAGAAAAATGGTCTGATGAAATGTGTTTAGCTGGACTCTGGCAAAGCTCCATGTCATTCTGAATGACTGCTTCAAAACAGACACAAACAATATTTGCTGTTACTTAAAAGGATGAGATAATTTGCATCCAAAGCAAAGGAGGAGATTGAGAATCCAAGATTGGGCCCTGGGTCTAGCGCCTCCCTCAGGAAGTGTGCTGTTACTGCTGCCATGTGGAGAGCCACATAAGGACTAGGACTATCCTGGGACCCAGCCTTACCTGTCTGGAAGATGGACACACACCAGGAAAGAAGGCAAGACTTCGGTGTTTTCAGATCAACTGTTAGAAGAAGATACCGTGAAGCGTGAATGCCACATCCCAACAGGGATGTAGTTCAACGGTACGGGCACAGGACTGTGTTCACATTTCAACGTCACCAAGAAGATCATATCAGAAGTCCTCATCTAAATCTCATGTATCCCAACCTTTGGTATAATTCTAACAAGCATTTCCCCATGACACATTGTAATCAAGTAATTAAAATGTAAGAAAGAAAGGAAATTTAATAGAGCGGGCATTTCATGGGTACTTATGTTTCTCTGACACCAGCCAGAGGTTTACTGGGGTTATGCCTGAGCCTGGCTTGCTCTGCATGAGGGAAATGTCAGAACCAATCGGGACTGGTAAATTTATAAGGAGAATCTTGTTTCTCTTGTTTCTATAGACTGAGAAGTTCGTGGTTCAGGGGTCTGCAGGGGCTGTCTGGCGAGGGTCCGGTCTCTGGTTCCAGGGGGGTGCCTTCCTTCTGGATGGGGAAAGCAGCACACCTCACATGATAAAAGAAGGGAAAGACAAGGAGGACACTATGGTTTCCCCTAAACCCTTTCATATGCTTGCTGACCCCATTTATGAGTGCAGGTCCCTTAATCATCACCTAAACACTCCTGCCTCTCTTAATAACATCGCGTTAGAGTTTATGAGCTAAAATGGACTCACTCAAACTAAAGCATAATGTGATGTGTGTCTGGGGGTCAAAAGGCATTTTATATTGAGCATTTGGAAGGAAGTAATGTGTTGAACTCCTCCAAAATGGCAGAGTTTTCACAAGTTATTATTGCTGTTTTTATTACTTCAAGTTTGACGGGGAAAAAAATAAAGTCAGCGGTAGCTAGACCTTACCTGAGCCGTGCCAGCCGGCCCCACTTCCCTGTGTTGTCCGTTGGCTTGGTGAGGGCCTCGCACAGCAGGTTCTCTCTCCGTGTTTGTTGAGTGAAGCGCAGCTTAGGAGAGACTGTTGACCTAAGGATCTGGAATTGGGCATTTGCAGACGGTGTGTATGGTAACTGAGCCCTCCACAGCGGTGACTAAGCCTCCGGAGGGAGGGTGTACAGAGTGAGCAGGTCAGGAACATCTGTGGAACATCATCATCACAGACAACGAACACACAACTCCTCCCCCTCAGGCACCAGCTCAATTCTACGGCCGGTTCCAGAGGTTTAGTGACGCAGTTGCCGGCTTGTACGGTAGGAGTGCGGCCCACGTGGCTTACCCTCAGGCCTCCTTATCTACTGATCTAGCGCGGGATTTCTCTTCCCTTTCATTTAGTTTGACAGCTTACACGTGGCCGAGCATAAGGAAAGGCCACGTGATGACGGAGAGCCTCATTGAAGGGCACGAATGTGTCCACCCAAAGGCTCCGTGGAGATGCACGGGAGCAGGTAGATGCTTAGACCAGAGCACGTTTGGGCTGTTCCTCTGCTCCTTCCGCATCCTAATTTAGGATTGAATCATGCTTAGCTGGCTCTTCATGGGTCAGCCGTGACTTGGGGTCTTTGCTGTGTCAATCCGATTAGAGTGATTCATCCCTTCTCCTGGGACAGCCTTTCCCTGGAAGAGAGAGTTTGACTCCGGAGGATTAGTGAGTTGGGAACAAATTTGACACCCACTGAGGACGCTGGGCTCTCTTACTAAGTTGGTGACTCATACATAAGTCCCAATGGAAACTTGGCCCATCTGGGGAGTCATTAATATGTCAACTCATAATCTAAAAATTATTGGGTGTTGAAGACTTCCCTTCTCTCGTAGCCCAGAGATGTACTTCCTCATGTTCCAACTGAAGTTCCTGAAAAGAAGGCAAGGGGCACCCACCCACCACCCTCTCCTGCTGGCTTAGCATGTGGCTATGCATACCTAGTCTAAGCGCTTTGCAAAAACAATACCTTTACCCCACAAACCTCTGGTGCCTGACTGCTGTTTATTCTCCACATCTCGGGGGATTATTTTACTTCTGGCAGGCTGTGGGTGACTAGGTAAATGCTCCTCCTAGCTGGGCATCTCACCTGTTCTCAGGCAACCACGCAGCAGCGAGGCCTCCAGAGTGGAGGGACAGAGGTCCTGCCAGTCAGAGGAGGAGGCGATCTTCAGCAGAGGTGAATTCCCCGGTGCCCTTGGCACTCCAGCATCTTTTTGTTTCTATGCCGACCTTGTGGGATCATAAAGCTGAGGGGCTGAGAGACCAAGGTCAAAGGTTGTCTGTGTGGAATGTGAGCAGAGGTCTCAATAGAACAATAGCAAAGGCACACAGGAGAACAAACGTGTTGGGGTATAACCCCTTCTGTTCTTTACCGTTTCCCTTTTCACAACTTAATGATACGTTAGATGGCGGTACCAATAGTTAATGCTATCTAGGGGAAAAAAGAAGAAATGGATTTATTTGGACAGTTAAAGGCACGCATTTGTGTTTTTATCTTTATTTACTTTTAGATAATCAAGACACTCATAGAGTTTACTGTTGAGAAAGACTGCCTGGACTGCCTGTTCACCAAAACACGTGACATTTCAGCCACAAACACTTTGCACCATCACCAGAGTCAACCTCCTCATTTCCACTCGACAATGTCACCCAACACCCCCTCCCACACAGTACCTCCTAAGCTTGGATTTGCAGACATCACTGAATGTCTGTGCTCCCATCCATTCCTATCAAAATCTGTGCGTGGCCATCAATTTGGTTATGATTTGATCCAGCTTGGCTTCCTAGCAGCTCCTTTGAGTCCCCCAAATATGCAGATGCTTTCCTAAGCCCACGAACCCCACCTTCCGCTAGAAATGACCACACAATGGCCCCCAAGTATGAGCTGAAGTAGTCCCAGGACAGCCAGAGGACACCTAACTGCGCTGCTCATTCCTGCCTGCGGCTCACAGAGGCCCAAGCCAGACCAGGCCACTGGTGTAGTCAGAGACCAATGCTGCCCAGTTTAACCCAATTACTCTTCACCCCCAGAGAAAATACAGTTATGACAGGTCTTGGACCTCTATGAGCAAAGCGGGCTCGCAGCCAGAGATCTGTCAACACATGTCCCAGCCATGTGGAGCAGTATCCATGAAAACGACAATGATTGGAAAGGGCGAGGCAGGCCTGAGCTGTCCAGCATGCAGAAATGGAAGCTCTGGCCACAGGTTCCCACTGGCACCTTCTCCACAGAATATTGCAGAAAATACCGGGCTAGCAGCTGGGGAGTTCAGAGCTAAAGTATGGCAAAGCTAGGTTCCCACTGTAACCTGATAAATAGGAATTATTTACCAAATACTGGGAGAAAAAGGCTCAGCAAAGATGATGACTGCAGCCCAACAGAGAAGAAAACACCTATTTTCACGCAAATTTTAAGAAGAATTTCCTTTCCGTGGTTTACAAGTTTCCACGACAAACAGGATAATGTTAAATCTTCCTTTTCGACTTAGGTCCTCCTAACTACTAGTGATCTCATTTCACCAGACATTCAGTGTTTCTATTGGTCAGCCACCGGTCAGTTCTATTTTTGTAAGTCAGCTCCTCCAGAATCCCGGAAGGCATGGGACTCTAGTGTTTCATTATAAAGACGGCAAAAATGAAGCTGGAGAGGTTGAGTGGCTGACCGACTCGCCATTGCTGGAAACCCGGTCAACTTGTGCGCTTGGTCGTTCACAAAGCCCTACTTCCCAAGGCCTTATTTTCTCACGTTATTTGTCCTCATGTCACTGAAGAGTCATCCTCCCAAGCTCTCAGAAGCACACGGGATGCACAGGAGCCTGTGTCCACAGGAAATCATAACCTCATTTCTTAACTAACATTTCTTAACTCATTTCTTAAACCCTTGAGACTGTAGGTTCTTGTCCCTGCTCTGCCCCATCCGAATGGTTTGATGATGGTGGTTCTCTGAGTCTCTGTGAAAGGAGAAGACCATTTCCTCACAGGGGTGTATGCCAGCGTTGCCACTACACTTACAGTACTCTAAATGGTACGCGGGGAAAGTATGAAATGTACCATTTTCTTTTGAAAGCCAAGGTAGCCATTGTTGTCATGGGAAATTTGTTCCAGGATCCTGCTCAAACATCAAGCTCTAATATATATATCAAGTCACTTATATAAAATGACACAGTATTTGCATATAACCTACATGTATTCTCCATATACTTTCAATAAAGTCTGTATTACTTATAGTGCATAATATAATGTAAATACTATAGGAACATTACCTGCTGTATGTATAATATGTGGTGAACAAAGAGAGGGGGAAAGTCTTTATTTGTTCAATATAAATGCATTTCCCCCAGATGCTTTCAATGCACAGATAAATCTGTACGTGGAACCTATGGCTGACTAATGAAAATATTGAAACTGAGGGGCACTTTCTTGGTATACCCATACGCATGCATCTGAAACACTTTCAGAAGTGGGTTGGTGTGTGTTTATAATATACACACCAGCCAGGATGAAGCTAAGCATTGTGGTCATAAATAGCCATCTGGCATCCTTGGGGCAGGAGATTCTAGGGGACTCCAGCAACTCAAATTCCTCCGGCAGTCAGATGAACTACTACTTTAATTAAGCTCGGCCCCTTCACTCAGGAGCACAGACCAAGGGGGACATTGAAGGACTCAGACAATGGGAGGACACCCTTTGCTTTCTGTTGCTGTGATAAACATCATGATCAAAAGCAAGCTGGGGAAGAAAGGGTTTATTTCATGTTGTACTTCTGGGTTACAACCAACAATGAGGGAAATCAGGGAAACCCGGAGCAACAGTGTATAGTAGCTCGCTCTGAGGCTACGTTTCTTATATAATTGAGGCCCACCCGTGTAACATGGGGAGCCTGTTTGTTATTTGGGTTTTCTGTTCTGCCCCATCCCCCAGCTATTTAGTCCCAAAGTAAAATCACACAAGAGATCTCTATAAGTTGTAAAGATGATTGGCCTTTTAGGTCAGGTTTCTTATTAGCTAATGCTCACATCTTGATTAACCCATTTTTCTGATCTATGTTAGCCATGTGGCTCAGTATCTTTTTCAGTGGGGCAGCTCACATCCTGCTGCTTCTGTGATCTGGGCAGGAGTGGGAGGAATTAACTTCCTCCTCCCCAGAATTCTCCTGCTCTTCTTGCATCATTTCCACTTCCTGTCTGGTTTTCCCACCTACACCTCCTGCCTGGCCAATCAGCATTTATTTAAAACATGATTGACAGATTACAGACAATTCTCCCGCACCACACCCGTTTAGGGATAGTACTACCTACAGTTGGCTGGGTCCTCCTACATCAATTAGCAATCAGGAAAATACCCTGCAGACATGATGACAGAACAAACCGATCCTGATCAAGGGAATTCCCCAACAGAGATCCCCCTCAAACAACTCTAGGTTGTGTTAAGTTGGCAGAGGACGCTAACTAGGAGAGATGGCATCTCAAAGCACAAACTGGCCTGCGCTCACTCAGGCCCACTTCTCCTTCCTTGGAAGGCAGAGGGGTGTGGGGCTCTTCTGCAGTCAACTGTTAGGCTTGGCCTAAGTTGACTGTTCTTTGACATATGTCTTTTGTGTTCTTATCAGTTTTCCCATACACTGTTTTCATGTGGAGCACGTAGCAGTTTTATAGGGAGTTTTAATGTATAGCTCAATAAAAACAATAAAATCTCTAGAAGCCCAGTAGACTGTTTCCAAGGCCTTATCACATTTGTCCCATCATCGCAACAAGAGTGACATGTCTTCAGTCTAAAGAAGTCACTTTGGTGACTTTGATCACTGTCAACAAGAATTCTCACACTTAGATTTAAGACCAGGGTTGCTTTATATTTCAGGTACTCTAACTCAGTGCAAGCATGCATATATGTTTGCCATGTAATATGAATTTGGCATCCAGTGTTGCAGTGATTTTTGCCAGGAGCAATGCCAGAACTAAGCATGCAGCTGACTACGCTTCTCTTTCCAACAAAACTATTGTGACTCCATGTTAGTCATGATTCAGCACGCTTGACACCTTGTTGTATTTATTTACATAACTTAATCTCTTGTACTTTACTTTGAGATCCTCTATGAAGAGCACAGGCCATCCTAACAGAAACCAGATCTCTTTGCCTCGTTTTGTTCTAACTTTAGGGCATTATAATTCTAGAGCAATGTTTCGATATCACTAGGAATGGTTTGCTGTCCTGACTAGAAATAGCATCCTCATGTAAGGATATAACTCCAACAACTGGAATGAAACCAAATAAAAGAACAGGACCTGGCTTCTCTCCCTTGCTTTACACTTTGCAATAAGTCCCTTGGCTTTCCCACAGGCTACCAAGTCTCCTGGGTCCTTGATATTCTGGGTTCTTCAGTGGTCATCCCTATAGTTTAAGTTATGATTACCGATACTCAAGAAGAAAGATAAATGCTTCCATCTCCGGAAGGAATAGCTCTGACTGGAATAGGCAAGGCAAGCAGTTCTTGGGTCCTCTGGGGGGAACCTGGGGAGAAACATGTCTCTTTCAGGCAGGTAACTGTTTCATCCTAACCAAAAGAGATGCCATCTCGATTTCTACACCAGCTGAACACCTGAATAATTACATTTTAAGCAACAGAGCACCTAAAACAAATTCATTAGCATCCAGGTAGTCAATTGCGCCCAGGCTTGCCCAAACTGGCCTTTCTGTTAGCAGGGTGTAGAAGAGCACAGGGCTCTGTGGGTCCCTGGGGGCCTGCCAGACCCTGAGCTGTTGCTCAGCTGTGGGCCGCGCGCCAGTTCTCAGGTCTGCTAATGAGTGGTGTGGTGTCTGGCGAGGCTGTTGCCTGCCAGCGAGTGTGACTGCTCATGGATCTTTTCAATAACGCTGACAATCCCTTCTCCTTTCTCTCCTTCCTCCGCTTTCTTTGCTGGAGCTGGCTGAAACAGGAGCAAATTAGTCTCATTCTGGAAAAGGCAGGGCATGCACAAAGGACCCCCTGAAGGCCTCCAGGACTCTGATCCTGGAGGTTTTGCCGTCAGGGTAATTATCTGACTCGGGTGAGTGTAAGAAGCGGTTTTTGTTGTTTCCCCGTATTCCATAGCGGGCCTCTGAAGACACCCTGAGTCCGCTCCCCTGACCGTTTGCGTTTGATATCAGGAAAAGCAGTGGTGTTATGATCCTGTGAGCGCTCCAGCTCCGGAACTGACGATCTGTCCATTCCCTGTTCACACACTTTGCTTCAGCAGATAGTACTTCTGTCCCCTCAGGTAAATGTGGCAGATCTTAAATGCCCCAATATCCTTAGCTGGGGTGAAAGGCCAAGACGGAATAAGGGTTTCCTCAGGCTTAACCTTTCTGCCTGCTGCTCACTTTGTGTTCCGCTGGTTTCACTGTGCCTCAAACACCACAGCAAAGCTGTGTGTTCTCCCATAGGGACGATGTGGAGTAGTCTCACGGAAGTCAGCACTACAGTCTTGTTGAGTAATGGAT